GTAGCATTCATAAGGTTTCAACCCTGTATGAATTATCTGATGCCTAGTGAGAACTGACTTGTGGTAGAAAGTTTTCCCGCATGCATTACATTTGTAGGGCTTATCCCCTACATGGGTTCTCTGATGTTGTGTAAGATGTGACTTCTGACAGAAAGATTTCCCACAGTCAGGACATTCAAATGGTTTCTCTCCTGTATGAGTTCTCTGATGCACTGTAAGGTGTGAATTCATACAGAAAGATTTCCCACATTCATAGCATTCATAGGGTTTCAACCCTGTGTGTGTTCTCTGGTGTTTGGTGAGGTCTGACTTCTGGTAAAAAGTTTTTCCACATGCACTACATTGATAGGGTTTCTCCCCTGTGTGTGTTCTCTGGTGTAACGTGAGGGCTGACTTGTGGCTGAAGGCTTTACCACACTCATTGCACACATAGGGCTTCTCCCCTGTGTGTGATCTCTGATGTTTCGTGAGATTTGACTTCTCCCAGAAAGTTTTTCCACATTCATTACACTGAAAGCGTTTCTCTCCCGTGTGTATCCTCTGATGTCGAGTGAGGTGGGACTTCTCCCAAAAGGCTTTCCCACATTCATTGCATTCAAAGTGTTTCTCTCCTTTATGATTTGTTTGAAGTTGTGGAAGGCATAAATCCCCCTGGAAATGATCCCCACTCTCACTACACTCCGAGGGTTTCATACGTGCCCCATAAGGTTTCAAAAGGGTAGACTTCACACATAACGATTTCCCACAAGTACCAAGTCCACAGTGATTTTCTTCGGAGGCATTCATGTGATGTAACAGGAAAGAGGAGTTAGGAAAGAAGGTGCTCCCATATTCAATACATTCAGAGTGATTCTCTTCAGTGATCTCTCTCTTGTACGTACTCAATATTGCCTTTTCGGGGAAGGTTTCTTGATACATGTTATATTCAAATGTTTGATCTACACTTTGAATCTTCTCATGATCAACAGGGTCCTCATCCTGACTGAAAGTTTCCCCATGTTTAAAAAATTCACTTTTCTCGCTAGTAGGAGTTTTCTTGTGTTCAATACTGAGTAGTAATTTTCCACAGTCATTAAATTCATCAGTCTTTTTTCCTAAATAGTTTTTCATATAGATACACAATTCAGAAATACAGCTGAAACTCACTCCATATGAGTCACACTGACAGAGGCTCTCTCTGGAAGGAAAC